TTAATCTTTTGCTGGTGCTGTGACCTAATACACAGACATTGTCTGGTAGAGATGGTTAAACATGTCAATTTCAGTTTCTATCCTTGTTTTATTTTTTTTCCATATATTTAGATTTTTCCAGTCTGACCTAGTTTCTGATTTAGTTTTGGTTTGCATCAGAAAAAAAATTGCATCAGAATTGTATGGTTTTTACCTATCAAACCAGCTAACATTATTAGGAAACAAAGCCTGTTCTTTCTTTTACCTTACTATAAGACTGAGTAGTTCATCTATTTCCCTTAAATAAAATGATCATTTGGTTTGGAGCTGAACAAGAGTAAACTTAGGTAGCTTTGCTTACATGTTTTCTTGATTACATTTTTGTAATCAATTAACCCACTAGAATACACTATTATTATTATCATGAAGATGAATACTCATGGGAAATCTACTACATTTCAGGCAAATAAACATATTGGAGGGCTGATGACTTTGGATCACTAATACAGGATTTGCCTTGAACAGATGAACCAAACATTCATCTATCTCTAACCATCACTAAACCAATGCAAAATTCTGGAAACAAATAAGTACACCATTGTGGCTATTCTTTTTTAAAAAAATAGACAATGTATTCCATACTGTGTCAAACTTATTTTTTAAAGGCTATTTTATTTTTAAATTATTCATAAGCAGTCATTTTGTATTCTGTTTCTAACATAATGTAGTCTCAGAAAAAGTACTATTGGTTTGATATAATGTTGTCAACTGCCAGGAGTTGTATTCTTACTATTCTTTAAATCCAATTAAATATAAGATAAACTATGGGTTGTTTTATTAAAAGGTAAAATTAATTTAGGCAATGTAACTATTGTATCTTAATTTATGTCTCTGAAGACATTAATTGTTTTTAAGATAATTGCTATAAACTGAAAATATAATGTATTCACTATCCAAATAATTCAAGCATTTTGTTATTTGAAACATTATTCATTACATATTTTATTTTCCAAATAGATAAAACATTTTACTCCTTCCTATTTCAGTTGTCCTTTAACTTTTATGCTGATATATGTTGAAAATGTCAGCCTTTTTATTTCCAAGTTTAATACACATTATTTTAAAGAATTTTTGTCACATGTAAATGAGATCTATAACATCTAAGCAATTAAATTTGGCTAATTCCTGATCACTTTTGTTTCTTGCTTCAGTTGAAATTATTTAGAGTCAAGGGTTATTTTTCATCTTGCTTTATTTCAAGGCTGAATACAGAACAGAAAAGATTTTACAATACTATTTAAAACTTGTTTTCTAAGTCAAACTACCATTTTTGCAATTGACGTTAACATTTATTTATATTTATGTTCATATTTCTCCTAAAACATGGGATGTATGCAAGTAATTTAACCTAATGTATTTTTTTGCATATAGCTTTCTTTAATACTCATTTTTATGTTTTATTTTGGAAAAACTGTGTTATAAAGGTTAATAATTGGCAAAATTATGATTTTCTAATTCACAATGAATTAATATTAAAAAGTGAACCAAATTTGAATTTAAAAATAAACAAAAGTCTTATTTTTCCTATTACATATCTGAATTTATTAGTACGGGGCAGTGGTGGGATTCAAATAATTTAGCAACTGGTTCTCTGCCCTAATCACCAGCTGTGTGGTCATGTGATCTGGTGGGCATGTCAAACTTGTTTGGTCTCATGCTTAGAAAATTTCTCCTTAGTCCAACTCACAATAAAATAGCATAATAAAATAGCACTGTTTTTAAAGTAGAGTAGAGTAGAGTAGAATAGAATATAGAATAACAAGAGTTGGAAGGGAAACCCTACACCACTTCAGACAAATGGTTATCCAATCTCTTCTTAAAAACTTCTAGTGTTGGAGCATTTGCAACTTCTTGAGACAAGTTGTTCCACTGATTAATTGTTCTATCAGGAAATTTGAGGGTCTTCTACAAAAATGAGGGGGTCAATCTATTTTCCAAAGCACCAAAAACATGACAAGAAACAATGGATGGAAACTAGCCAAAGAGAGAAGCAACCTAGGACTAAAAGGAAATTTCCTAAGGGTGAGTCCAGTCTACCAATGGAATAGCTTGCCTTCAGAAGTTGTGGGTGCTACAAGCAACACAGTTACAAGATAACTTGAAATCGTTAGAGTCTAATACTGTAAGCTAACTTTTAAATGCTGAAAATGCATGATCAAAATACATAAACATAAAACAGCATTGCAATCCTATTCCAAATTAATAAAATCAATTCTGCTAATTAGAACGTGTATTTAAAAAGACCTCTGATAAGAAAGTCCTACTCTGTATTAATATTTTTAAAACTCTTTCCCTGGCCTAATTCTGTCAAGAACAAGGAGAGATTCAACCTGGAAACAAGGAGGAATTTTTCTGCTGAGGAAATGGTTGTGTGGTTATTTCTTCATTTTCTTTTTCCTTCCCTTCTTTTGGTTAATTACAAATGAGCAGGAATGTCTAAGGTGTATGTGAACTACTGGAATCATTAGCAGATAGCCTTGACTATTCAGCCAGTTTGCAGAAGTCCACAAAGAGTTAACGAACGTTTCTCCTGAATCAATGCAAACCGGCTGAATACCACCACTGGTATGGGGCAATTATATATATTTGTGTACAGTTTGATAGACTCATACATTTATACACAGTTGTGCATTGTGTTTCTAAACCTCAGCAGGAGACATAACAAGGCCTATCTCAAATCTTTTATAATGTTAGACTGATTATTGCTGATTTAATTTAGGCAGCTTATTTTATCAGTACATAAAGTTATCAGAAATGAACATTGATAGGTTTCCATACAAAGATGGAAGATGCTCCAAAATGACCATCTAAAAAGTGGCAGGTGATAAGATTGATCGTAGACTAGTATCAGGAAAGAGATCATGGACATAACTACTGATGCTACTTTATCATATTTTAACAAATATAATAAATTTATTGCCACATTAAAAGAGTGCATAGACAATTTAACAAATGTCTAAAACTTTTTGGGATCAGCTGAGTTGCATTCAAATTCTGTAAGACAATGTTCTGATTTCTTCTTTATGTCAACCATTATATCATCTTTATGTGATATAAACAATACATCTTATGAACCAAATGTAAGCCACTGATAAGGAAAACAGCCCATGGGAGCATCATGACATATTTGATTTGCCAGATGGTGTTTTCAGATATATTTTAAAACTGATAGAAGAACTAGTTACATTATGTGAAGCCCTAAGTCTCTTGGGGAAGATTCTAAATGCTGGGAAAAGTGGAAGGGGAAAATAAGAGGATAACAATATCAAGGTGGATGCATTCAGTTATAAAGGTGATAAGCACACTTTGGGAGAACTGAAAAATCTGGTTAGGGACAGATTGTCATGGACTATATATATGTGTGTGTGTGTGTGTGTGTGTGTGTGTGTGTGTGTGTGTGTGTTAGCTAAAAGTTTGCAAAGTTTTGATGGCATGTAATTAATTAACTTTTGAATGCCATAACTTGAAATCTCTTAAGACTCCGAGTAAACGTATCTCGCAATTTTTGGTCCATTTTTAATTTTTTAAAATTAATTTCTATTTTGACTCTTCCATAATGGTCATTTGTAGTATCTTTAGGGATGCTTCCTTCCCTACATTCCCTCAAATTCCCTATATTCTTTTACTAGATTGCTCAGATATAACATTGGACCAATATTACATTTTTATGAAGATCAGCTATTATAAAACTTGTCTCGTTGTAACTGCCAGGCAATAATTGTTATGATAAACATTGTGCTAAACCTGCCACACTTAAGTTGCACATGGGAAAGCTATTATTACATAAGTAGAAGCCAGGTTGTATACCATAATATCATGATTAAATCAACAGATCTGTTGCAGAAATCCTTAGTGCATTTTCCCCTATGATATCAGAAATTTCACTTGCAAGTCTGGTTTTGGAGCTGTTTATTATATAAATGTAATGCTTTACTTAATTTATAATGAATTATTTGTTGCATTGTTTTGGGTTGTAATTGAAAACTAAAATTCTATCAGGCCATAAAGTACTGTGGTATTAAATAGGGACACACATGGAAAAATTATCTGAAAAATACTAGTTCTTGTTTGAAGCAATGTTCAGTGGTGATTTCAAAGATTCTTCTATTAAAATGGGATATTATATCAATCAAATCATTATTATGGTCATAGACAAACATAGTGATATGGTGTTTCCTTTTTAGATGAATATATGTGTGTATATATTATATGTATCTTTGTCAGAAGTGGGCTCCTACCGGTTTGGCCTGGTTCAGCTGAACCAGTAGTGGTATGCCAGCCTGGGTCGAAGAACTAGTAGTGACCCAAGCTGGTCACGCCCCCAAACCAGTTCCACAGTCGCTGCTATCTTTTTTTTAGTTCTGCACATGCACAGAACAATTTCCATTGAACTGTGCATGCACGCGCAGCGCGCACAGGAACAAACCAGCAGTGACGCTGGCTGAAACCCATCCCTGATCTGTGTGTATATTTGTTTGATATGAGTTGGATATCTTAACACCAATAAATGCTATGTGGAGATAGATGTTTTTCATTATGTGTTCTAGTCCATCTGCATTTAAAATTATTCAAGGTTACCAAAAGGACATGTTTAATAATTAATATTAATATGCCAGGTGTTTTGACTGATTGCTACATTACAAATAATACTTTGTAAACAAATCAATTGAAATCACACTTTATGATTACAGTTGTTAAAAATATTTTATTTTTTTCCTCTTCTAACAAGAGATCATCATACTCAAAGCTAATGACAACAAACCATATACAGTATATTTGGCAAACACATCTGCATATAGAGCTGGAAGGACCAAGTTATTGCTCAGTGTATTTATTTATTTGTTTGTGAGCCATGCCACAAAGTACATAACTTGGTTTTGTTTCACATAACAATAATGCAATTTTGATTCTGAATCCCAAAGTACTGCTAAAGAAACTGTATTTCTTTATTCTTTATTTAGGTATCATGATCAACAAGACGTTACTAGCAACTTCCTTGGAGCAATGTGGTTGATTTCAATAACTTTTCTCTCCATTGGATATGGAGATATGGTACCTAATACTTACTGTGGGAAAGGAGTTTGCTTGCTTACTGGAATAATGGTGAGTGATTCCAGCTTTAATTTCTATATGCTTTGTGAATTTGAATCATTTTCAGAATGTCTGCAATGAAGCTGTAAAACATAAATTATCAACACAAAACTGGTTATGAAGCTTTCAGTTGAGTCTAAGGTAAAAGAAAAAGATGAAAGGTTACTTGCTAATATGTAACCTAAACCAATATTGTACTAGTTTTGATTACTTTTGAGTTGCTAGGTATAAGATTGCTATAAAATATGTAACATTTTATAAATAAACAATACAATATATAAACTATGCTGCATCAAGCAACTAATTCTCTCTGAATTTCATTCTAAACTATGGGCTTATTTCCCTCCTTCCTTGTTGTCCTCTTATATAAATCTCATGGAGAAAATGGCAAATTTAAAACTTATTAGAATTAATATTCTAAGAGAGGTATTAAATGTAGCTGTCATATGCTATCTAATTAATGTAAGTGGCTTTTGATCCTAAGACTCTTTTTGAGGTCAACATAGGGATTTAGTTCCTATTTTTCAAAATCTTCAGGCCATTTAATTAGCTAGATTTATGGTCATTCTGTGAATCAAGATTCTCAGACATTAAGTTTATTATATTAGCTGCTACTTATCACCTATGTTGGTTGCTCTTGTGTCACTGAGAAATATGGATAACCAATTAATTTCCCTATATTAATTTATCTGTTATTATTGTGTTTCAAATACTAATAATATACATGAATATTATGCACAGTAACAATGACAAAGGCAAAGGCAACCAAAGGAAGGGACTGGATATGTGATTGTAACAATGCCATTATATATAATAGTGGGGGATATTTCTATGGCTTGAAACTGGATTTGAGGGGTGAGGAAAGGCAGCTTTGGATAGGACCCTTATATTTGTCATTTATATTCAACTTTTCCTCAGACTGGCATAACTCAAAATCACTTGAATTAAAGATAGAAATGAAACCAAAAGCTTCACAGACAGAATAAAAACAATTAGAAAATGAAACATAGTTAAACTTCCTTCATAGCAGAGACAAAAAAATCCTGTTGCAGAATGATATGTCATCGTATGAGCTGTCAAATTATTAAAAATAATATTTGGGTTGGTATCTGCAATCTTCCAGATCAAGTTCAGATGTTGCATGCAACATCTTTATATGTCCTCCTGAGTCATAATATGTCCTGGGTCAGTTAATTGAATCTTGACACCAAAAATTGGACCTGGTATTCAACCTTCTCTGAAGTCCTATTCCAGCTCATTAGGATTCTATATCATTGCACAACCCTTGGCAGACACATAGTATGGATATAAAAATGGGACTACCCTTGATAAGCTTTGGACAAATCTCCTTTTATCTTTTCTTTCTTTCTTTTTTTCTTAGATTCTAAGCCTGCAGGAACAATCTTAAAACAAAGTCTTCTTATTCTGTTTAATAGTGTAATGCTCTAGCTACAGTAGTAGTCTATATTATTATTATTATATGAACTACAATATGAAATCATAGAGGCCAGTTCTTTATCTTGTATTGGTATTCATAAACATTGAGTTTTTCCCAAGCACTTAGGATGTTGTAAAGTAAAGCACATATGTAATACAGGTGCAGATCGAAACACTGTGGCTTTTCATAAATGACAGATGGAAATTTTGTCAATGCACATATTTTATAATTGCCATCCAAAATGTTTGGTATGGCACAGCATGCCAATAAACACTACTGGTTTTTGTCACAATTTTTCAATTTCAATTTTCAGATCTTGATACTTTATGATCTTCTCCAAATCTTTGTCTAGAATTCTACTATTGCTACATAAATTATCCACACTTTCTTCTTTTCAACCACAGTTATATCTGGTATGTTAATGAACCAAGACTTTATCAGCCTATATTTGAAAATCCCACAATATTTTAATTTGCTCATTCTCAACTACTTTTTTAACTTTTATCTCTACCCTGCCCCCCACCCAATAAATGTTCCAGTGAATAACTGTGTTATGTTGTTGTTTATAATCGGTTTGCACGCTCTTACATGAGCTGAGTATATGATCTACAGTTTCTTCTGTTTCTTTCTACACTTTGCACTTTGAATCATACAATGATTTTTTCCCAATTCTGACCTTGAGTGCATTAATTCAGATAGCTTGCTCTTGAGCAGCCAAAATTAAGCCTTCAGTTGTTTTTTAAATGTTCCATTGTAAGCCATTGCCAGGTTTTCATCCACTTATATGGAAATTAATCATGTAATGCTTTTCCTTGCCAGCATTCTATTCATGTTTTTATTAGCTTATTTTGATATTCATGTTTTGCTTTCTGATGTTCAGTAAGTTCCAATTTTTAACTAGCAAAAATGCTTGTTTTGGCTGACTTCTGCATAATCAGCCAATGCATACTTTTCTACTTTGATAGCTTGTGGGACTTGAAGTAAACCATTTCCTCCATTTCTTTGGGGCAGGTATAGTCAGTATCACAATGGGAGGATGCATAGGGAATATCCATTAGTGGTTTGTTGTTGTTTTTTGGTCCAAACTCTCCAGTTCAGCTTATGTCCAGCTAATAATTACAGAAGCATATATTATCACAGGTATTACCAGGTATTGAAGGCTTTGAGGGGTCTTTGGAACTATCTGAGCTTGCTTGTTTCCCTGCAGACATTTCATTACCCAAACTAGGTAACATCAGCAGTGCTAGTAAGGACTGGGATTTGCTCTCAGTTTATATTCTAGTGGATTGCCCTGTCAGTATTGATGGGGGTGGTCTTGGAGGGTCTTTGGCTGGATCGTATATTGTTAGCTTGTTTGGCAGTTCCTTGATTGGGGTATTGTTTAATTCTTGATCGTTAATTTGATATTAATCTTGAAATTAATCTATGCTCATAAATTGCTGGTTGGGATATATTTTGTTTTTTTTGTTCCCTTGCTGACTATCTCTTTTGCACACTATATAGATATTGTTTATGTCTGTGTGGCTATTGATGGGTAATTTGTCAAAGTGGCAGACTTCTAGAAATTCTGAATTTGGCTTGGATCAACCAAAAAAATTCAAAAATTTTCAAAAATGAAAATTTGAAAGGAATGAACAAAGGGTCTGCAAATAAGCTATAAAACTGCAATTTTGTGCCCAGGGAAACTGCAAAACAGCTCTGGCACATTAAGTAGTTTTGAATGAAATAGTTCTGCTTAATTTATACATGGTGCAGTGGGTCAGGTCTGCTTTAGGAAGAGTGGTGTGTTCATAAAGTAAAACAAAATACTTCCTAGGACAGTGATGTCAAACCTTTTTGTACACGCTTGCCAAAATTGTGTGTGCATGCTTGATAATGCACACATGTGTGCCTACACTGACAATGCAATGCATCCCACCCACCTGCAATTGCACATGCAATCATCCCCCATGCATGCGCGCATGGCCCCCACGCATACGTGCACGTCCTCACTGCATGGGGGGAGTTTTGCCCTCCCCAGACTCCAGAGGCTTTCCTAAAGCTTGGGGAGGGTGAAAACGCCCCCCCCAGAACCCGGAGGACCTCTGTAAGCTGGAAATGAATAATGTTTTGGCTTCCCCAGGCTTCAGGAAAGCCTCTGTAGGCTGGGGAGGGCAAAAAACAGGCTCAATGGGTCAACCGGAAGTTCAGAACTTCCGGTGTGTCCATTGGGCCTGTTTTTCGCCTGTTTTTCGCTGGTGGCACGCATTCATAAGTTCACCATCACAGCCCTAGGAGTACTCCCAATTCCTCTTAATTCCCCAAATTAAGAAATAGATAAGTAAAAAACAGAATGGGATTAAGCAAGACAAGAATTTAACACCAAATCCCAAGATGCACTTTTTAAAAAATGAGTAAAAACAGATTCCTTGTGTGTCCAATCAGACTTGGCCAATAAATAATTTTCTATTTTGTTATCATTCAGCTTTGTATAACAGCAGGAGAAGCTGAACTGGTGCCTGAGCATTTTGTTTGATGCACAGTTATCTGTCCAAAGTGACCTCATGACAGCTTCTTGAATCAGTAATCTGAACCAGATCTTTCTGAATGTATATCCAGTGTATTACATCACACTACTTATCAAACTCTGATTAATTTCACTGGAGCTCTATCACAATTGGATAAAAATGTGCAGCAGGACATTTGGAATTGTCCAATGTCAATAAGAGAGGACATTTGTTTCATGAAGAAAGAACAGCTGTGTTAACATTGCAGCTAGTCCTGCCATAATGGAAAATGAAAGAGAGCAGAGTCTGTACAAAGCATTGTCAGAGTTACTGAAAAGAGGCACGATTTGTTAAAATATTTTTTTCTACAATATGCACAGTCTAGAGGGAACTAAACAGATAGAAGAAACTCTTCTGGGCAGTGCAGATTTAGGTACCCTTGGTTTGTTCATGGTTTAAATTTTATTTGGAATTCATAAATGCAATACCTCATTGCTATTTATTAAAGGAACCCAGCTTCTTTCAGGCTTCTACATGAACTTGAAGAAAGGTGTTGCTGCTTTAAGGAATTAACTCATTAAAGTGAACTTTACTCTTAAAGCAGAGGCACCTTTTTTCCAGACTCATAGAAAAATCTGAAAAAGGGGGCTACTTTAATGAACAGCAAAGAGCTGCTGTGCTGAGATGATGTCAGAAGCATTTCTTTTGAAGGATGTTTAAAGCATGTGTAGTCCTAATTGGAAAGAATGATGACTTCTAAAATAAGTGGCCTTAAATAAATTTAACATGTTTCTATATAGTTAAGTTATTAATAGTTTAAATGTCACAATAATACAAATGTCATTTCCATATAATGAGACCCAATGTCTTTGATGATCAGATCCTAAATAGGTATCTCAAGTTTCTCTTATTTTAAACTTTCCAAAATCCTACAGTTCACATTTAGGAAAAGACTCAACCTAATCATTATTGTGCTCATAGAATAATTTAATATGGAATGTACAAGACCAAATTACTCCTGGTAGACAAAAGTAACACTGCATGTGATGTACGTATTAAAGTTCATAGTAAGAATCTTTTCTCTTCTG